TAGGGAAAGCACCCCCTAAACATTCTTGTATCCACATACCCCACCCTGCCCCAGGAAGTGCCCAGACAACCTGCTGTCCTGCAAACTTCAGTGTGGCACTGGGTGGACCTTCCCCTTCCTCCCCTCCCAGGAAGATCTCTGAACCGTCAAGGCCTCTCCATTTGCTTTGGCTCCATTATCCTGGGGCTGGGGGTGGTGAATGGTACAGTCATTCCTTGCTAAGTGCTTGAATTAGACTAATAGGTCATCTGTGCTTTTCTCTGAAGGAGGTCCAAATTCCTGGTAAACAACCAGACCACTCTCCCAGCCTAGGGCCCAGAGCCAAGACTCGGGGTGGGGGCACACAGTGGCTGGACTGAAGCTTTTAATGGTATCCTGGCTGGCCGGGATGGTTAATGCCATTAGACTAGTTTCTGGGTAATGAGGTGGGAAGGGCTGCTGGCAGCAGTGATAAGCAGAGCACGCTCAATTACAGGTCTCTGCATGGCTGGGTTGGAGCAGACTGTCTTTTAAACAGCTATCTTCCAATTCACTCATTCAATCATGTATTCATTCAACAAACCTTAGCAATGCTCTGTAACAGGCTGTATTTTTCAAGGTCTGTCCCTGTGTATTCATGAGCTACCATTTTGGTGAAGGGGCAGCCCAGGACTTTGGCAGCTAGACCTCAGCTTTAGGCACTTGGGACTTTTCAGTTATCCTGGTTGATTTTAACCCTCAGCTGTTTTTTTTTTTTTTTTTTTTTTTCCTTGCGTTATGCGGGCCTCTCACTGTTGTGGCCTCTCCCATTTGCGGAGCACAGGCTCCGGACGCGCAGGCTCAGTGGCCATGGCTCACGGGCCCAGCCGCTCCGCGGCATGTGGGATCTTCCCGAAACGGGGCACGAACCCGCGTCTCCTGCATCGGCAGGCGGACTCTCAAGCACTGCGCCACCAGGGAAGCCCCCCCTCAGCTGTTTAACCTTGGCAAATATTCTTTATCCCTCTGAGCCACCATTTCCTTATCTCCAGTAGGGATCCCAGTAGGAGTACTTAAAGGGTTGCAGTTTTTATTTTGCTTTTGTTTTTAATAAATACATCAGCAATTTAATTTCAGTCAAAAAACAAATTAGCAATATCAACTGATGTTTATATCAGTTTAAATGGTTTTGGTTGGCAATTTTTTTTTGCTTCTTATTTCTATAAAAGCTTATAAGCATGAGGAATGTATGCTCATTTTGATCTCCACGTATATTTACATTAGATAACAGTCAAAATATTTAAAACAATCAGGGTTGTTTGAAGACTGGAAATAATTACAACACTTAACATAGTGCCTGATACAGGATGAGCACTCAATAAATGGCAGCTATTACTATTATTACTTCTGGGAGGGGATCTGTGGGTACTATGTATTCTGCTCCCTGCCCTGGAACAGTGGTGAGTGATGGTGCTGGCTCTGCCTCCAACTGTGGGCTGAATTCTGGGTGGGGCTGCTTCTGGGAGACTCACTATTCAAGCTCTGAACTCCAGGATGGAAACCAGAGCTCTGGGTCTGTAGCTCAGGCTCTGAGGGACCGTGGACCCGGCATGGAATCAGAGACAGTCAGTGTCTTAGTCAAGGGTCTTTTGGCTGCAAGTAACAGAAACATTGGAATTACTTAGTAAAAAGGGAATGTCATGCAACTGAATCCCAGGAAGTTCAGCTGGGCCTTGCCGGGGATAGGACTGGAAAGTCAGGAACCAGTCTTGAGCCCTGTCTGTTGAAGGCCTAGACACCTTGGGCCATCTACTTCATTCTCTCTGTAGACCTACTTCCTTTGCATGACCTTCCAGGACCAGCATTTTCAACTAAATGACCTCCCATCCCAATTCCAAATTCATGGAAAAGCTGATTGTCTGTGCACAGGTTCTAGATTGGCTTTCCTGGGTTAAGGGTCCATCCCAGGCTTATCAGCTGGGTAAAAGAAACATAGATCCACAGGCTACTAAAGTAATTACAGGGCCCCAGGCCTGTTAGTGGAGGGCAGTTCTCAGAGAAGGGAGTATGTCTCAGCAGGACTCCAAGAGCATAGACTCTTGGCAGGGAATTAAGGTAGATCTTAATCACCCAAGGTCCAGCTTTGATTCTTTTGTGGCTTCCTTCCTGGTCTAGGAGTGTCTTCTCTGAGCTTCCTTCTTGGATGCCCTCAGGGATAGGAATGTAGGAACATAGGCCCTGTTGTGGCTCTTTTGGGTCTGAGAACCATCCTGAGAGCTAGATGGAGGTTCTTTATGGCTGCAGAAGGAGGCTTAGCTGCTGTGGGGCTTGCTAGATTTCTGGTCCCAACAGTTGAAGAGTAAGGCAAAGTGAAGGGGATCAGAATATGCCACTCCAAAATATGCCACTTTGGCATAAGGATTATTTTTACCTGAAGGCAATTAAGAACCAACAGGAAGAGTTCTGTGCCCTCGCCTTGTGTGCCTGAAAGGGCATAAATGGAGATGAGGAGTCAACACCAAGATAAGTTTGCATAGACAGACCTTACTAAAATAGCCCTTATCTTCCATTAGTTTCCCCCCATATATTTCCTAGTCACTTCTGCACAATTTATTGTTCCTTGGGGCCCAAACCCTCTATCCTTTGTTAAAAGGGTATATAAGGCCCCTAGTCTAACCCCAAGTCCTATATGAGTTTCACTTCTTTTCTGTAAACTCGCATGCAGGTAAATATTAATAAAAATTGTGCCTTATCTCCTGTTAATATGTTTTTTGTTAGCTTAATTCACAGGCCTCCAGTTACTGACCCTAAGAGGGTAGAAGAAAAGGTTTGTTCTCCCCAACAAAAGCACTGCCACTTCCTTGGCTGATAACCCTCCATCTTTGCCTCTATAGCCCATCTTACCAACAGTCATAGGCTCTCA